AAGGGGCTAGGAGCCCGGAAGTGGCCAAGTCCCCCCCACCCCCCGCCGGGAGAAGCCGCGGGGTCTGAGTCCCCTACTTGCCGCATCTTCCGGAAGCGCAGTTGGGGGCGGCTCTCCGCTTGGCTGCGCCTCCTTCTCCAGCCTTAAGGCTCCTGTCCTAAGGAGGCCCTGTATAACCACCACGACCACCGCAGCTAAATTGCTTCCCTTAGGTGCTTATTCTATCCACGGACAGTTAGCACTGTCGGACATCACTCTGCCTGAAATGGCATTTTTATTTATTTACATACTCCTTATGGTCCCCTCTCTTGACCTGGACCATATCAAGTGCTCCATAAAGATTTACTAAGTAGGTGCCTGGCCTCACTGCCAGACAACACCTCCCCAAGAAAGTCTGATGCCCATTTGCTCTTAGGGCCCTAGGGGCCACACCTCTGTCCCCTCTGAGATGGGTGGGTGGGGGTTGGGGGTTCCCAGGCCTCTTTTTGCCTGCCCCAGGTAATTAGCAGGCACCACTTAGGGCAGGCAGATGCCTGAGCAGATGGTGCTAGCTGTGCCCAAGTGACAAGTCTCCCATGGCCTCACCTCCTGCCATAAACCCCTCCTCCATCAGGCAGATCCCAGCCTTGGAACCTCAGGGCAGCTGAAGAGGCGTCAGGGTGGGCAAGAGAAGGAAGGATGCTGGGTTGGCTGCTGCTAGCAGGCAGCTAGGCCCCAGGTCCATCCTCAGGTCTGAAGTCTCTCCTTCGTCCTCACCAACTACCAATCACAGTCTGTCCTGTATCTGAACCATTTTCAGACCAAGCCTTCTGCGCCCGATCATCTCTTCCATGGACCACTCTGGTCTCCTTGCCCTCAGCCTACCTGCTTTATTTATTCTCCTGCAGCAGCCAGACAACTCCGATCATACCATATGCACACATATGTGCATGCGTGTGCACATGTATACACACACATACAGATCAAAATCCTCTGTGGCTCCCCTCTTGCCTGTGAGTTTAAGTCTTGGCCTGGTTTCCAAACACCTCACGGTTTAGTCCCAGCCCTATTTCTTTCTTTCTTTCTTTCTTTCTTTCTTTCTTTCTTTCTTTCTTTCTTTCTTTCTTTCTTTCTTTCTTTCTTTCTTTCTTTCTTTCTTTCTTTCTTTCTTTCTTTCTTTCTTTCTTTCTTTCTTTCTTTCTTTCTTTCTTTCTTTCTTTTTATTTTATTTTATTTAGTTTTTGTTTGTTTGTTTGCTGTAGGGCATGTGTGCTTGCCAGAGAAGAGACAGAGAGTGAGAAAGCATCACCTGGGGGATGGCGATGCCTCAATCCCTCTCTTCCAGTCTCCCCTCTGGATTTTGGGCACACATGGGCCTAGCATTATTTTCAAGCCACCATGTCTGGGGATGGAATGGCAGTCAACCATGTGGGATCCAATGCTTTAACCTCCACACCACCTGCTGGCCCTCAGCCCTGTTTCTTAGGGCTCCCTGCAACTCCTCATTCCCCAACAGCCCAAGTATGGCCAGGCCCCCAAATCTTTGCATAGGCTGTGCCCTATACCTGGAATCCAAGTCAATGCCAACCAAGGTAGCTAATACTAGGTGCTGAGCGTTCTGCAAAAGGCAGGAGAGCAGAAAGCATCTATGCCATCCCTATGGACCCAGTCCAGGTCCATGAGTCAGTCTCCTTGTAATCACAGCGCAGGGGTGAGACCCTCTGCCTAGAGCCTCCAAGCAGCCCTGTTGCTCTCCTTTCCTAGCCCTCAAGCTCCCCCGCTTGCCTGGCTGCTGTGCTCTGACACAGACAGTGGGCGCAATGTGCCCATTGTACAGAAAGCAAGCCGAGGCTCAGGGAGGGGCCATACAGAGGGCGACAGGCCCTGCCTGGCAGAGCTGGGCAACAGTTTCCTGTGCCTCTCTGCAGCCAGGCTTGGTAGGAGCTAGGAGACTCAGTGTGGCAGCCTGTCTGGGAAAAGGACAAAGCCTGACGGCATTCTTGTAGGGGCTGCAGGCTTTGGCAAGAGTGGTTCAATTTCTTTGCTGTCAGGAGAATGGAATTTCATGGTGACTCCTCGAGGTCTGAAAACTGCAGGGGGGTGGCCGACCTAGCCACCCCCGCCCTTTCCCCAGGCTCAGCTCCAGCTCAAGGCACTCCCCAACCCCCAGACCCAAAGACTCCCTCCAGGGACCCATGGAGCCTAACAGCCCCTGTAGCTGAGTGGGAGGAGATACTTAGCTTGGGACAGGACAGGAAATGAGCTGGGGAGGGGGCTGAGGGGGACTGATCAGGTTACCCAGAAAGCCACTTGGGGGTCTTGGGATCCTCTAGAGAGGAAGCTGGGGATGGAAGCTGTTCCAGGGACCGACCCCAGGAGGGAGCCAGACTGCTTGCCTCCCAGTCCCAGAGGGACCACTTCCTAGCCTTAAGATTTAGACCTGTGTCATTCTTCCTCTAAGACTCAGTTTCCTCACCTGGAACAAGACGACTTTACCATCCGTTTTGTAAACTGTTCATGGATAATCGGTCGGACAGGGCAGGCAGCCTGGCCCCTGGTCCACAGGCGAGAGTTTACGCACTTTCTGGACTGCTGAGCTCTCAGCCCGGGCCCCTCTGCCAGCTCCAGTTTGGGACTCCTGGGCAGCCAGGCACCTGGATGGCCTGAGAGAGAGGCCTGTTGAGGTGGGTGAAGAACTGGCCCAAGGCACAGAGGACTCAAATGACTAGGGAGGCCACACTGGGGGCAGCAGTCCCTCAACCCCTGCTCTGCCTCTCCCCACCCCATCCATCAGGTTCAGGGCTCAGGGCATTGTTGTGTCCCCACCTCTTTCCATGCCAGGCCCCAGCCCAGCACCTCCTGTTGGAGTCAGTTCCACCAGGTCTTGGAAACTGTGGACAGGATTAACTTACCCAGCTGGGTCTCCTGGGGCCAAGCTTCGCGGCTGGCTTAGAGGCCATCCTTTGTGGCATTCCCCAGGGTTGTTTCACGGAGCTGCTCTGGCCTGCCTCCTCCAGGGTCCTGGGAAGAGCTGTGGGAGACATACTGGGTGACACATTAACTGGGCAGGAAGCCATCCGAGGCAGTGAGAGGCCCGTTGGTCTGTGTCCACCACTCCTCTCAATGTCCCAGGAACTAGTCTCCTTCAGGACACGAGCCCAGAAAGGGAAAGTGGTGTCCCTGGCTTTGCAGCAAGGTGGGGCAGAAAGGGACTGGGTGGAGAGACTCAAGCCAGGCCTGCGCTGCCATGGCCTCCCTCTTCTTGCATGGCATAGGTAGAAGGATGTCTACCCTGGGCTGCTGGGAGACCTCAAAAGAAAACCAGCAGATGCCTAGGCATCCTACGAGGCAGTGCATAGCCAAAGTGACACGCAAGGACCCAGGCAGAAGCTCCTAGGTGAGCAGTAGCTGGCAGGAGGGAGGTCAGGGAGGGGAGCAGGTTGGCTGAGAGGCTCGGGACAGCCAGGCTCCTGAGGCAGGAGGGAGGGGTGCAGCTGGGCAGTGGCAGCTGATTCCTGCTACTACAGCTTGGGTGAGCACTGTCCTACGAGAGGAATAGATAGCTGCCAGCTGTGAGGTAAGCCCCCCACCTCATCCCACCCCTGCCTGCACACTGCTCTGCCCAGAACCTTCCCCACACCCCTCCGTCCCACACACTGTGTGGTCTGAGGTCAGTGCCCTTCTTTCTGTGGAGCTCAGGGCTTTACTTGACTCTCTAACAGAGACATGGCTGGTACCTTCCTGCCTGCCCATGTAGGACTGGCTTGGGGTTGACACTCTGCAGGCATAAAGCAATGACCATTTCTGCCACACCAAGGCAGCCCAGCATGGACACAGTGGCAAGCCTCTTAGAACCCTGCCAACTTGGCCTGCATGGCTGAGTCAGGCCTCAGGGGGCACCCTGGCCTGGGTATCCTGCAAGGCCAGCCAAGTGCACTCCTCCCAGGAAACCCTCCCTCATCCTGGTACTGACCCCTTGAGGTTGCAGCTATCCACTTACCTATCTGCGTCTGCGAGGGCAGGGGCCACACCTTGCTCCTTGTCCAAGCCTGGACCAACGTGGATGATCAGTAAATGCTGAACAGATTAGGACAGACAAATGGACGGACAATTGAATGGATGGACAAATGACAGACAGATGGGTAGGCAGATAGAAGGATGGGTGGATGCATGGGTGGACAGAGGTGTGTGGCTGGGGAGGCTGGATATCAGCTACATGAGGGCAGAACACTGTTGTTCATGGCTGTGCTCCTGTGCCTAGCACCATACCTGGCAAATAGCAGGTGCTTGATAAACATGTCAGGTGGGTAGGCAGAAATGCAGACACACAGGGCACTCAAAGTAGCGTGTCCCTGCTTCCATCCCCAAAATACCCAGCCCTGGGGAGCATGAGTCTCAGGGTAAGAAGCCCCGCAGGGCTATCTGCTGACCTCTGAGCTGGCACAAGGCAGGAGGGGGGACCTGTGGGAGGGTTTGAGTGGGGACCAGTTCTCAGTGGCATTGTGCTGGGTGTCCACCCTGCACTGGAGCCATTTCCAAATATCACCTAGAGGTATTTGGTCTCCCTCAAACTGTTAGTCTTACAGATGGTCCCCAGGGTCTGGAGAGATGAAGATGCACACCCTTGACCTCACATCAAGGAGCAGGAGGGGTCTTTCAGCCTTGGGACCTGGTTTGCCCACACCAGAAGGACAGCAGGCCCGAGACTGGCAGCTGTGCCTCTTCCTGGTGACTGCCTGAGGCCAGCTGGACTGTGGAGCTGGACTGGGCTAATCTGATTTGCAGCCCCCAGTAGCAGAGCCCGGACACCAGGACCCCTTACTGACGTCCTGCAGAAGCCAGACTCCCAGACCCACTCTGCCGCAGCAGGCCTTTGTCTTACCAAGAATGGCTGGCTTGTGCGGCAGCCGGCAAAGGGCCGGGGATGGGCTGTGGCTGTGCCAGTGCCTGCCAGGCACCAGCCATGACCCTGTGCCCCTGTCAGAAGCAGCTGGGGGAGGGGACTCAGGCCGGATGGAGGTAGCAGGAGTCAGAGTCTTGGATCATAGGGGAATTCTGCTTACTGCATGATCTGGGGCTTGTCTTTGTGGCTCCCTGACCTCAAGCTCCTCCTCTGTGACATGGACCGATGTTGCTTCCTTCCCCCTCATGAGGAGCTATTCTGGAAGCGGGGCAGCTAGAGGAGATTATGTGTCTAGGAATGGCAATCGCACCTAAGAGTTGAGCCACCACCATAAGAACTGAGAGTTAGTGAAGGGCTCAGGCCTCCACCTGCCTCCACCCACCTCCCCATCTGTCTGCACATCCAGCTATCCTGTCCCATTCACCCACCCACAGCATCCCTGAGCGTTTTCACCATGCTTGGCTCTGCTTGGCACTGGGGGAATTTAGGAGATGACTCAGACACAGGCTCTGACCCCAGGGAGTTTAGTGTCTCATGGAAAGAGTCCACAACACCCAATGTCCCCAACACAGAGAACAGCAAGAGTGGGAAGATAGATCAGGCCCAAAGGCACCCAAGTTCTGGCGAAATAGAATCCTGTTATGTGCCAAGACTAGAGGTATGCTGGAAAGGCTTCTAGAAAAAGGTGGTGACATTTGTCTCAGGGCTTGAAGGTTTGGTAGGTGGAGGTGGGATTAGAATGCAAAGCAGGGCTATCCTGGGATGTCTGAGGCTGGAAAGGTGAGCAGGTCCCTCAGACATCCAGGGATCAGGAAGTCAGCGTGGGAGATGATAGGGAGCCATGGAAGTTTTGCAAGTAAGAGGGAAATGAGGTGTATTATAGGAGGAGAAGTAACTCTGAGGTCCAGTTCAGACGATGTGTGTCCACCTCAAGCCGTCCTTTCTGTCTCTCTGGGCCTTTTGTTCTTATGACCTGGGAGGGAGGAAGATGCGAGGTGGTCTAGGAGCCACCTTGGCCTTTGTTCTCCCCCCTCCATTCTTTGGAAGGATCTGTCAATATATATATATATTTTTAAAAATAATTATTTATTATTATTTTTTTTCACATGAGTTTGCCAGAGAAAGACGAGAGAGAAAGAGAGAAAGCCACCAGGTTCAGGACTTGAACCATGGTTGGCCATGTGGGAATTTCAGCACCTTAACCACCATGCCACTTGCTGGCCCCAGATCTGCCAATGTTAAAGCTTAGTCTGGGAAGGATTTGCAGAGGGAGGACAAGGCCAGGTTTCCCAGAAGTCAGATCCTAGCTGGAGAGGACCCGGGTGGGACAGGGTCTCAGGGCTCCATACTGGACTGAGGCCAGGCCTTTGATGTGCTCTCCGTTTTGTGGCTCTGGTTTCTTGGTACTTTAAGCCATCTGCAGGGACTAGCCCAATGGGCGTCAACTGGGGCTGATTCTGGTCCCTAGAGAGCACTTGGAAATTATGCTTGGGATGGGGTGGGCAATGCTAGTAGCATCTGCTGGGCAGAGGCCAGGATGCTGCTAAAAAGCCCCAGTGTACAAGTAAGGCCCCACATCAAAGAGCGTTCCAGCCCACAAGGTCCAGGCACCAAGGTAGTGAAGTCATTCTCGAGACGGCGGGGCTCTCCCCAGGCACAAACCTCAAAGGCATTCTTGGTGGTAGCTATCCTGCTCCATCTGGGTCCACACAAGATGGGCATGTGCCTGGCAGTGAGGCCAGAGGAGTGACTTGCTCCTGCCTTCCTGCAGGAGGTCACGTGAGGGTAGAGGATGCAGCAGGAAAGGCCTTCGGGGACAGTGCAGTCCATAAACCGGAAGGATTGCTCGGGGGGCTTCCGGTGGGTGGCCATGGCAAGGATCTGGAGGGGGCTGGGAAGGGTCAGGCTGCCTAGTCTGCCATCCAGGGTTTGATGAGGGCAAGGGCTACAGAGCTGGGCCCCCTACCCTTGCCACTGGCCCACGCCCCTGGTCTGAGGCTGGAAAGGTGAGCAGGTCCCTCAGACATCCAGGGATCAGGAAGTCAGCGTGGGAGATGATAGGGAGCCATGGAAGTTTTGCAAGTAAGAGGGAAATGAGGTGTATTATAGGAGGAGAAGTAACTCTGAGGTCCAGTTCAGACGATGTGTGTCCACCTCAAGCCGTCCTTTCTGTCTCTCTGGGCCTTTTGTTCTTATGACCTGGGAGGGAGGAAGATGCGAGGTGGTCTAGGAGCCACCTTGGCCTTTGTTCTCCCCCCTCCATTCTTTGGAAGGATCTGTCAATATATATATATATTTTTAAAAATAATTATTTATTATTATTTTTTTTCACATGAGTTTGCCAGAGAAAGACGAGAGAGAAAGAGAGAAAGCCACCAGGTTCAGGACTTGAACCATGGTTGGCCATGTGGGAATTTCAGCACCTTAACCACCATGCCACTTGCTGGCCCCAGATCTGCCAATGTTAAAGCTTAGTCTGGGAAGGATTTGCAGAGGGAGGACAAGGCCAGGTTTCCCAGAAGTCAGATCCTAGCTGGAGAGGACCCGGGTGGGACAGGGTCTCAGGGCTCCATACTGGACTGAGGCCAGGCCTTTGATGTGCTCTCCGTTTTGTGGCTCTGGTTTCTTGGTACTTTAAGCCATCTGCAGGGACTAGCCCAATGGGCGTCAACTGGGGCTGATTCTGGTCCCTAGAGAGCACTTGGAAATTATGCTTGGGATGGGGTGGGCAATGCTAGTAGCATCTGCTGGGCAGAGGCCAGGATGCTGCTAAAAAGCCCCAGTGTACAAGTAAGGCCCCACATCAAAGAGCGTTCCAGCCCACAAGGTCCAGGCACCAAGGTAGTGAAGTCATTCTCGAGACGGCGGGGCTCTCCCCAGGCACAAACCTCAAAGGCATTCTTGGTGGTAGCTATCCTGCTCCATCTGGGTCCACACAAGATGGGCATGTGCCTGGCAGTGAGGCCAGAGGAGTGACTTGCTCCTGCCTTCCTGCAGGAGGTCACGTGAGGGTAGAGGATGCAGCAGGAAAGGCCTTCGGGGACAGTGCAGTCCATAAACCGGAAGGATTGCTCGGGGGGCTTCCGGTGGGTGGCCATGGCAAGGATCTGGAGGGGGCTGGGAAGGGTCAGGCTGCCTAGTCTGCCATCCAGGGTTTGATGAGGGCAAGGGCTACAGAGCTGGGCCCCCTACCCTTGCCACTGGCCACAGCCTCTGGGTGGTCCCAGCTTTAGGGCATGGTTGGGGATAGGGGTGGAGGGAGGGGCCTCCTTGAAAGCTGTTTGCTCAGCCGAGGTTTAATCTCCAAAACAGGAAGGCACATATTGACAGTAGCAGCAGACGGAACTGTGCTGAGCCTGCCAGGTTAAGTTCCCCAGCTCCTCTCTGCCCCCCCATGCTGGGGGGGTCTCCCCTCACCACTCCTGTCCACCCACTCCCTCTCACAGCCTCTCAGGCTGTGCCTTGGAGAGAGGGTACCCCAGGCCACTCTGCCAAATGCAGGTAGGCTTGGAGCCAGAGGGTAGAGCGTGGACAGGAAGTGGGGTGTGGTGGGGGTGGGGGTGTCCAGGGTCAAAGGCCCTGCAGGGTGTGTCTCTGGGTCTCATTTTGCAAATGAGGAAGCTGAGGCTCAGAGAGGGAAGTGAGCTGGCCTGGGTCACACAGGGTGGGGTGGGAGTGGCCCTGTCCACCACCCTCATCCAAGGAGTAGAGTCAGCTCCCAGAGAGCCGCCTATCTGGTATACACAGGAGAGACGGCTGGCTCCAGGCTCAGCAGGGCTGCAGTGCGAGGAGTGTTTACTGCCATAATAGGTCTACCCACTGCCGGAGCAAGCTGTCGAAATGGCGAGGTAGCATGCCAGGCTGCCCTGGGCAACCTCCAGGGTCATCTGGTCCCTTATCTGCCCCCACTAGCCGCCTTGATAGGATTATGATTCTCTGGACAGGACTGAAGCCAGGTCTCTCTGGGCCATCTTGAGCAACCCACGTGCCTGTCAGCTGGTTTCCCTGGATCTCAATCCCATGCTCACTCCATGTCCAGGGTGCCTTGACTCCTTGACCTGATCTACAGCAGGTGGGGAGCTGGCAGGGTAGGCTGGGCCAGACACTGAGGGTCAACCCTAAGTCTACAGATGGTGTTCCGGTCTGACACCTTCACTCCACACTGCTCACTTAAGACGGCTGGCCCTGCTCCTGGCATTGGCTGGCTAGCATGACCGGGCCCCTAGCAACCTCCTGCCCTTTGCCTGCTAAAGCCTTTGGGCCTCAGCCAGACCAGCACACACTTTACTTCTGGCACTTCTTGTCAATTGCCATCTCCCTTGGGAAGTCTTCTAGGCTTGCTCCCTCATCTCATTCACATCTTGTTTATCCCCAGGTCCCCTCCTGCCCCCAGCAGTCAGTTTGACCCTCAGAGAGTATTCAGTTGCTGAAGAGCTCAGAGTTTGTTGTACTTGGCCCTTACTAGAAGACCTAGAAAGATCTTACAGATTTTGTGTCAAAGTCCCATTTCACAGATGGGAAGTTGGAGGCCCACAACGGCAGGGCCACATAGTAATTAGCATGCAGCACCAGGCATGCTGGGAGTGAGCATCCCTGGGATCACACTTCCTGGTTATCTCTCACAGCCCAGGAAATTTTGCTGGTGGGAGGAACTGCAGAGTGTATGGGGGGCGGCACACCTGCAGGTGTGAGGAACTGCAGAGTGTATGGGGGGCGGCACAGCGACAGCACTTGATCCAGAGATGGGGTGGTGATGGAGGACCTTTGGGTCATGGCTCCCTGAAGGAGGCCCTGCCAGATCTGCTTCTTCCACTTCCCCTTGAAAGGCTCTGTCTGACCAGGAGGCTGAGCAAGAGCTGATGTGCCCACTGAGGAGTGGGAAGCTGTCAGCATGCTCCAGGAGGGGTGGGAGCGAGGCAGCCTGAGCTGGTCCCCAGGCCTGGCGCCTACCGCAGCCTGCAGCATGGCCTGTGTCATCTCTCTGGGTGGGGGAGGGAGGGTCCCTAGTCTTGGCTGTGTTCTCAACTCATGCGGGGTCCTAGACAGGTTGTTTCTCTCTAGTCTCAGCCACACACACCCCCAGACAAGCAGTCACTTGAGCCTTCCTTGGGTCTCTGAGACCCCCAGCCCTGGTATATCCTCTGAGGCTGGCCATGTGGTGGTAATGGCTGCCATCCTCCTATCTCATCCCTGCTCATCACTGCTGTTACTATATCCCAGCGACCTAGTTTCCCCGCCCCCCCGTCTCAGCAGGGTGGATAGTGTCCCCATTTGAGGCAGGGTGACGTTAGATCAGGTGTCCCAGGTGGGGCCAGCAGGCTTGTCTGCCGGCTCAGGGCAGGGGCCACGGCTTTCAGGTCTTCAATAGCCCAAGATTACGTTCCATCCCTAGGGGGACCCTATTGTGTAGCCATTGTGATGGCCTGGGAACCACGGCCTCCCAGGCCAGACGAGGATGCGCTTCCCTGCCCAGGGCGGTCTTCTGAGCTATTTGGGCAGCTTCCAGGGTAAGAGCACACACAGGCACATGAATGTGTGCACACAGGGCCACAACCAACACAGGGTCTTTGTCAATTATTTATTTTATTTTATTTATTATAAATATTATTACTATTATTATTATTTTTAAATTTGACCAGACAGGAAGAGAGAGAGAAAGTGAGAAAGCAAGCCACCAGGTCCAGGATTCCAACCACGGTCTGCCATGTGGGAGTTCAGCTCCTTGACCACCACACTACCTGCTGGCCCCCTGACACAGGGTCTTACAGAAGCATGGACCCTGGCCTGCGAGATAGCTTTTCCACTGCCCAGGGCCACTGCTTAGGAAAAGGAGCTGCTTCTTCGCAGATCAATGATCAGAGCATGGGCTGGCCTTCAGGCATATGCCTGGGTCAGTGCATGACCTGCACAGGTATGCACAGCGGCCCTGGCACTGCCCGGCCCCTCCTACCTCCTGTTTGACTCCTCTCAGCGATGTTTTCCTGCGGCCCTCCGCTCAGATGGCAAGGTTGTCCTCCGCCAGCAGCCAGCACTGACAAAGCCACAGTCCCACCCACAGTAGTGATGGGGATGCAGAGGAGGCAGGCTGACAACTGCAGGTCCAGGTGCAAGGCCTGCACTCCTTCTCCCAAGTCCAGTGTAGGAATGAGGAGGGCTCCTGGCCATTTGGATGCGAATGCCATCTTACCACCCTCCCCCAGCTGTGGCCCTGCAGACCTACCCCTGGGATCCCTTGTGCCCAGCTTAGCATAAGCCCCGTTGAGTTCGTCTTGGTACCCCAAACAGTAGTGACCACATATTTTATTGTCTAACCTGGGACACTTTTAAGAGTATGGGGAGCTATGTTAATAATTACTCCTCGGACATACCGCGGCTACTGCAGGAAGCTGGGTGTGTCACCGACAGAGACAAAGCCTCTCTGGTAGGAATGCGTGCCGGCGGGCACACGACTTGATGTACAAGAACAGGCTTGCGGGCACAGGGCAGTGCTATGCGCACGTGTGTGTCCATGCGTGCATGTGGTGTACGGTGAGCCGTGGGTGGTGGAGGCATGGCATGCTGCCAGTCTGCACGTGTGGGCTGGCTGTGTGCAGGGGACATTCGTGTCCTGGTGTGCACACGCCCGGAGCCCAGCCGCTGGCCCAAGATAGCTCCTTCCTCCTGCACAGCTGGAGAGTCAGGAAGGACAAGGCGGATCGAGCTGGCTTCGTCTTTGGTCCCGAGAGAAGTGACCAGGCCAAGGTGAGAGGCTGAGGCCAGGCCTTGCTCTGGGTGAGGTCCAGGGCTGGGGTGTGTCCCTGACACATGCTTCCTGACCAGCATAGTGGTGGCTACCGTAGAATCCCTTGTACCCAGCTTGACAGGAAGCATGTGTTGGTTCTCCTCAGAGGGTGCTTCTTCAAGAAGCAGGGCTTCTGGGGCAGACTCACCTTCCCCTGCAGTTCATCCTAATGCGGTACCACCCCTTCCTCCAGGATGCCTTCCATGTCTAGGCTTTTGTCCCACTGCCCCGTCCTCAGAGCAAACGAAGCAAGGAGGCTCCTTCCAGCTCATCCCCAGGCCTGAGCGCAGCACCTCAGGGGCAGAGAGAGACTCAACCCTCTCTCTCTCACCATCTCCCCAGCACCCATCTGAGTGGAATCCCTGCTTCCCTGAGACTCCAGGGTCTCCAGTTCTCATTGCTCTGAAGAGCAGTTACAGGCCCTGAGACAGACAGGGTTTGCTTAGGGAAGCACAGCCCGCCCTAGCCCCGCTCCCAGGTCAGGGCACTTGTGACTGTGGCAGCCGTGAAACCCTCCTTGGACCTTCCCGCTGGCAGCTGCTCTGGGCCCCACTGACCTTGGCTTTGTGAGCCGCGGGTCTTTGGGGCAGAGGCCAGGCCTGCTGACTCATCCAGGTGAGGGGCAGTCCATGCCAAGGTGTAGCTGAGGCAAGCTGGTCTTGGGCAGACCACTGGGACGCTCACCCGAGAGAGCGGGCCAGTCCTGAGCAGGCCCCAAGCCCTCCCCTTCCTGTAGCTGGACATACCATTGAGATGCTGGGTCCAGTGTTGAGTGCTAGAAAGGGAACATGAGCAAGACAGAAGTAGCCTTGCCTTCTGGAACTCACAGTACACTGGGGGCAAGCAGAGCGTGTGCAGGCAAGCAGATAAAACCATGCTAGAGATCAGCACGATAATATAAAAAGTGGGGTTGGAGAATAAGCTGGCAGGCTGGCTAATCAAGGAGGCAGTGTATGAGCCAATGTATGGGCCAACACAGGGGCTGCCACAAGCCTGTGGGGATGTCATCCCAGTGTAGGAAACAGCAGGTGCAAGGGCACTGGGGTCGACCAGGGCTCCCCATCCACTCACTGGCTCAGAGAGCATTTGCACAGGACTTCCTGTACGTTAGAGCTTATAGGCAAGGGTAGGTCAGTCTTCAGAGGGTGCTCAGGGGACTCCTGGGTCCTGGGCTGGACTGGTGGGGAATGTCTATCTTTAAAGAGCTGGAACTTGAGAAAAGGAGGAGAGATAAAGTCCTCTCTGGCAAGAAGACCAGTCTATGGGAAGGTGGTTGATGGGAGAACCTTATAGCTGGTCTGAAGGGGGTTTTCCAGCCAGACTAGAGTATTTTGGTCCTTTAGGGGACAGGGACATCCTTGAACCCAGAGATCCAGGAGATTTAGTCTATGGTGAGTGTATCGCCACAACCCACCTGGATCAGTGAGCTGAAGCCACTGAGGCTTGGGGGTGTATGGAACCCCCAAGCTGTGAAAATTCTCAGGAGGAGGCTTACCCATGTGGTTCCCCAGCTGGGTCCCCTTCCCAGACTGTTCCCTTTCTAGGTTCAGGGAGACCAACCTTTTCAGACCCTCCTCTAGCTCCCCAGCTGTAACAAACTGACACAAACATGGCTCAAAACAACAGGTATGCATTGGCTCACAGTGGTGGAGGCCAGCATTTCAGGGCCAAGGTGTCGGTAGGCTCAGTTCTGTCTGAGGCTGGGAGGGAGTCCGTCCTACCCCCTCTCCCAGCATCTGGTTGTTTCTGGCAATCCTTGACTTATAGAGGCTTCATTCTAGCTTGTCATTCCCTCAGCCTTCACTCTGAGTCTTCTCTCTCTTTCTTTTTAAAGAATTATTAATTTATTTAATTTATTATTGCTAGTATTTTAAAATTTGCTATAGGACATGTGCGCTTATCAGAGAGAAACAATGAAAGAGAGTTAAAATGACAAAGCAAGGCACCAGGTCTGGGACTTGAACCATTCCATGTGGGAGTCCAGCACCTTAACTACCACATCACCTGCTGGCTCGAGTCTTCTCATAAAGACGACAGTCATTGGATTGAGGGCCCACCTAGACCAGGATAACTAATTACATCTGTGAAGACCTTTTCTCCAAGTAAGATCCCCTTTGGTGGTTTAGGACGTAGACTATATTTTGGGGGGACTACTATTCAATTTACTACACCCCCAGATGCCAGAGATTCTGGGAGGCTGGATTGTCCTTCATTAAAGGAAGTTAAGCCAGTTGCCTACTCTTCATGGAAGCAGGCTTGGGAATCTAGGGAGGCCTTAGTGCAGGCGGGGATGGCAACTTGGAGAGCAGGCAGCGCCAGGCCTGCCCACTAGGAATACAGCCTGCAGTCCCCACCCTTGCACAGGATGAGTGGACAGACAGGCATTCTGCCCCTGTCTCCCTGGCTGCTTCTGGGGGCCCAGGCACCTCCTGGCACAAGAAACAGAGGGGGTGCACATGGCTGGGTTGCCCAGCTCACCGCAGACCCTCTCAGCAGGATGTTTTTCACAGTCCTCAGGTCTGGGCATGAGCATTGGGCAAGTGGCCACCGGGCCCTGAGCCAGCAGGGTTGGGCTTCCAGCACTTGCCCCCCATGATTGCCCCGTGGCCAGAAAGCAGCTTCCGCCCTATAATCACCCATGCCAGGCATAGGCTCGGCTGAAGCGCCCTTTACAAGATGTGGGCTCAGAGGCTTAGGGGTCACCTGGCAGTGGCTTCAGGACTTGACGCTGGGTCGGCTGCCACACACCTCCTGAGCGTTTCTTGCTGGGAGCTCCCCTGAGTTCCGCTTGAAGCCTCGGCTTCCCCATCTGTGAACAGGGTCATAGTTTTGCATGCCTGCCTTGCTCCCAGGGCCAAGGGGAGGGAGGGACAATGTCCCTAGTCACAGATACAGAAACCGGGGCCAGGAGGCGCCTGGCCTGGTCTCCCCTGCCCAGCAGATGCGGGTTGGGGCAGGCCCAGGCCCCAGCTGGCCCACCACCTGCTGACCTGCTTCCTCCCTAGCCCTCTGGGGGGAGGCGGTGGGAACGGGTCTAGTCTTTGCCTCTCAGACCCCCGGTGGCTGCCCCCTGGGAGGCCTGGTCAGCAGGCTCAGGTGTCCCGCACAGCCGGTTCCTCTGCCTCTTCCTATCTTCGCCTCTGTGAGCCAGAGCGAGGTCACTCCCCAGGGACTGCGGGCAGTTCTGGCCCCACCAGCAAGCTGGGCGGGTGGCTGTCTGGCTGCGGGTGAGCGGGGCTGGCTCTGATGCCATCTCCCTGTCCCCTGGGGGGCTGGGCCGCCCAGGTGTGTCCACAGGGGCCTTCCCCAGGGCTCTTTCCCATGACCTCTGTGCCCACCCCCCATGGCATCCATGTCTGTGCTGTCTCGGCACCCCCCAGCCAGTTCCCGTGGGGAGATGATGGATCTGAGGCCCTCAGGCCCCGGCAAAGGCACAGTGGGCCATGGCTGCTGTTGGCAGGCTTTCCAGAGAGCCCTGGATGAAGGGTCCTATTCCTCAGCTGCCCCTACCTGGTTCTTCTACAGTGAGGAGCCCCATTTTATAGGCCACGAAAGGGAGGCTTATTGTGGTGGGGACCCCACAACCTTAGGCTAAGATGACCTCCTGCCTACCACTTCCTATCAACAATGCCAGATCCGCCCTGGGGTTTGATAGAAGGACCTCAATGGGAAACAGTCTGAGACAGGTGAGAAGTTTTGTTCCAGGACATAGCTGGCTTGTTCATTTGCTCTTAGAGCCACACTACTGGGATTTAAATCTGGCTGTGTGAATTATTAGCGAGGTGACCTCAGGTGAGTCACACAATTCTCTGTGCCATCGTTAGACTATAAAATGGGAATAATTAGAAGACCTACTTCAAAGAGTGTTGTGAAGATGACAAAAGCCTGGTACACAGTAAGGGTACACTAATAGGCCATTGTTATTGTTGTTATTGTCATTATCATCGTCATTGTCTGGCCATCGCTACATCATGAACTTCAGCATGCGGGGACCTCGTCTGTCCTAGTCACCACTGAATCCAACCCCTAGACCCAGGTGCATAGTGCAGGCTCAGGGACTGAGCCCAGTTATGTCTCACCCAGAGACGCGGACCCCTCCCCACTCCGAGTCTCCAAAGAGACCCACTAGCCAAGCCTGTGCTCTCTGCTGGGCTTTGAGTCCCAAGGCCATGCCCTAAGGGGGTTACTTTTATCTGCATTACTGCAAGTCAGGAACTTGGGGTTCAGAGAGCAGACTCTGAACAAAGGTCACCCCCCCTCCCGTTCTAGTTGGTACCAAGATGCTGGTGGGTGGGCTGGGTTGGGGGCTGAGACTAGGGACTGGGGGTAGAAGGAGAACAGCAGAGCTGGGGGGCGGGGGCCTCAGGCCCCTGCAAGCTCAAAGCTGGGCACATTCCCAGGTGGGCAAGCCTGTTGGGACTTGCAGCTGGCACTGGGCCAGACCAACGGCGCCCACACAACAGCAGATCCATGCACCCCCAGCACGGCCTGCGCCTGCCTCTGTGAATGGCTGCCTGGCTCCACCATGACCAGAGGGGTGGCTGTGGGCAAAGGCTGCTGTCTCTGCCCACCTCCACTTCAAGACAGCATTTGAGGAGGGGGACCATTGAAGCTGGTGTTTAGCCACCCTGGAAGGGTTGCTGAGGCTCTTGCTCCTCTTCTGGGGCTCTGCTACTCTGGGGAGCCAGCCTATGACACACACAGCTCACACAATACTCCCCTGGGACACTCATTCATTCATTCTGCAGCCACAGCTTCTTGCTGTGTGGCCTTGGGCAAGTCTCTTGTCCTCTCTGGGCTGTGATGGCTTCCATTTGGCAAAGGAGCCTGACCCTCATGATTCGCCAGCCGCGGGTCTTTGAGAGGCAGGCGAATAGGAAGTACAGCGTCTGGGCAGCTGCAGGCTCTGACAGCACAGCCGATGTCATTTTCGAGGTTGGCTTTTTCATGATCTCCCCAG